TTTCGTGGCTGCGGGGGGGAGGGGAGGGAGGGGGGGGGGGGGGTAGGGGGGCGGGGAGGGTGAGCGAGTGACCTCTCTGCCCCCCTTTGGCTCCGCCACTGTGATGAGGTACCTACTATGTCATTTTGAAGAAAAACTAAAACCAATCCCTACTCACGAAATTCTAGGTTCATCAACTATGCAATACTAGAGACATTGAAACAAGAAAGCGTCAACGGACGCATAACTGTGTCAAACGGGGCTTGGTTAAACGAAATCGAGTAGGGATGGGTTTGTTCCACATTTAAAGGGACAGTTTTGCCATTTTTCGGGGGTTGATTTGGGTGTTGAAAATATGTACAAAGTCTTAAGAAGCACTAGAAATGTACGAACATCGCATAATTCATTCAATAAGAATTTAACTTTATATTTCTATGTTTTTTCTTTATATATCAGGGCCAAGAAATGACAACACAGATTTGAAAGGTCAAATTTCGATGTAGAGCTGTGAACACTAACTACTGACCAGCTCAGCTAGTACTTGCAATAAGGTAGTTTTTATATAATCATGTCAATTACTTTAATTATCATTAAAAACCCACCAGCCTGAACACTTTTATAAGCTTGAATTGTTCGATTGAATTAAATAAATAAACATTTCACCTTTTCACTTAGTTACGTTAGTTTTTCTCTTGAGAAATCTTGGTACGCCCAACATCTTCTCTTGTGTTTGAACGATCAATTAAGTTTAAATTGAATAAGTTATTCTGTGTATTGTAATGACACAATAATGCAGAACTTTTAAACCTGGAAACTAAATAAACTTGAACAAGATAAGGTCACTTTGATTATAGTCGCCCAATTCTTTCTTTAAATACACGTTTTCACGGAAGACTTCTATTTTGTGCAACACCAGAATGTTGAAAAACAAACCAGCCATCCAATAGGGGGCAGACTGATAGGGGGCAACTGTCGAGGTTGAATTCAAAATGCGGCAACTTTGTCGTAGGACCAGGACTCACTCCGCTAATTCATTTGCCATCTCTTCCTATGTTAAAACACGAAATTCAACCTTTGACAACTTTTTCCAAAAGTCTTGTTGAAAGCTTTCCATTATGTCAAATGAAAGCCTGGCCAATCCTTAATGTCTCCTAATAATTCAATATATGATGACTATGAAAATTTTGAGCTAGTCAAATTGAAATTAGACTACTACCGGTTATACTCATCCGCTAGATTTTGGCAGTTCGACTATTTTTAGAATTATTATCCTTCCGCCTTTATGTCTCTTATCATCTCACCAAATCTTAAAGATAATGCAGTTTCAGACATCAAATTCCAAATCTAAACCAAAAATTACTCAAAAATAGGCATGCAAAAACCCCAAAAGGAAGAGAGAAAGAAGATTTCGAAAAATAGCCTGGATACAATCATTGCATAAAATGTTTTAGTGGAGTGAGCCCACCATAGACGAAAGCATCCCAGAGAGTTCTCCCTCAAGAAAATTAAAAAATATATATATAATTGATTTGTGCCTTCTCACACATTCTTTTTGGGCAGAAACTTAATAAAAAATCATATGGGAGTACAAACCCAGGGTGCCGCCAAACAATCCATGCCTTAATCTTTAATAAAAAAAATATCCATTTTTATTGTCCATGATCAATTTTTTGGTGCGTTTTCTGAAATAAATCGGTTTCCATTAGTTACAGATGGTAAGGATGGTCGACCATAATCAAGGAGGACGATCGCCTAAATCCAGCCTCTGAAATCTGAGAGTTGATGACTAAAAATCATTTGACCGTAACATCGTTTCATTTTCGAACAATGCGACTTTCATTAAGTAGACAGAACAAGCTCAGTAGATTTTAATTGAACAGGCAAAACGCTGACTGATCAAGTATAATAAGTTACATAAATTTCTAGGGAAATGATCATCTAAAATTCTGAAGTTTTTACAAATCACGACTAATCACCCATATGGTACACGCCTCTCCAGTGAAGTGCCCATCTACATACTCATTACATTTACAAACTCCGTTGATACCCTAACATTGCCATTGACAAGCCGCCTGACCTGAATTGCATATTTTTTAGGTAATGACACTCTCAAATTGAATCCGAAAGTTGTTTAATTATTAAGAGTGCGGGGTGACTGAAATAAGGTGGGTTAGGATCTGTCCATAATAGTTTGGTGCATGTTTCTAGAATCATTGGTGTCTTATTAAAATAAATAAGCATAACCGCATATTTCATCTGCAGTTGAGATCATAGATGTCTCAAACGCAACTTTCATTGGATAAAAGGAGCTGTAAGTGAATGGCCTCGATCAGTAAATATTTTCAGTTAATGACAATAGAGAACCTGATAGAGATGCGCTTAGGCATCCATAGAATTCTAATGCAAGGTAATTCTCGATAGGTAGCTACTACCAAACAATGTTCTAAAAAAATGTGACACTAATTCATATTCCTACTTTTTGGGAATATACAGTTCTCCCAAATCTTATTCTGTCCAATGTTAGATCATTGAATAACAAACTAGATGAACTTGCAGCTTGTGTTAAAACCTATTCGAGTATAGAGATAGCTGTATACTGTGTTTCACGGAGATATGGCTCTCTCAATCTACGCTGGACAGTTCCCTTTGTCTGAAAGGTTTCAGTGCCCCAATAAGACAAGATAGGACATTTGAAGTCTCGGGGAAATAAACAGGTGGAGGTGTTTGTATCTACGTAAACAAGAAATGGTGTCAAAACTACGTAATTCGTGAACAAGTGTGCAATGCAAATATCGAGCTTTGGTCCTATCTTTTAGACCTGTATACCTCCCCAGAGAATTTAGACAAATCTTCATTGTACTAGTTTATATCCCCCCAGACGTTCACAACAAATATATGACCATATACAAAGCCTAGAATCTTTTTTCCCCGCGTCTCCTTAACTTATATTAGTTGATTTTATCTCTTGTAATCTGAAATCAGCACTTCCATATTATACCCAGTACGTCCAATGCCAAACCAGACAAAACAGCATCATTGATCTATGCTACGGATATGTCAAAAATGGATACAAATAGCAAAGCATGCCACCTATTTGGCGATCAGATCAAAATGTAGTTTTCTTGTTCCAACCTATCGACAGAAACTTAAAGCTGAAAATCCGCTGACAAGAATATTTCCAAACAATAAACCATGGGTTACAAAAGAATTCAAGAAACTCTTAAATGATAAGAAACAGGCATTCATGTGTAAAGATGACAAACAACTTAACAGTGTTAAAAAGCAAATTAATCAGAAATCACGTCAGTGTAAGAGTGATTACAGGACCAAAGTTGAAAAACAGTTCAGGTCTAATGATACTCGAAGCGCAAGTCTAACATCAATGGTTGGAAACGTGAATTGTCATGACAAGATATCAAAGATCAAGGACTTACCTGAAGAACTAAATACCTCTTGTTACTATCAGTATCATAGACGAGCACGTTTCAAAAACCTTCGCAAACACAAGATAGGCTATCGTCCCTGACAGTATTCCCGGAATAGGAATGCAAAAAGGAACTTTGCTCCATTTTTTGTAGACTTTTTCAATTGTCATTGGATATGCACTCAATCCCTGCATTATGGAAAACATCACAGATCATTCGAATTCCTAAGAAACCTAATCCGAAAGAAACAAATGATTACGGACAAGTCGCTTTGACCTCCATTGTTATGAAGTCCTTTGAAAGGATTTATAACCAAAACACAAGACAATATTATGGAATATAACACACTTCTTTAATAAGGTTTTAATCTGTGTTTTTTCTTCTAGTCTAGTATTGTATTGTATTGTATATAGTTTGTTTGATGTTTCGTATGTCCAAACTATGAATTATATGTTAGTCCCTTTTGTTTTGTCAGCCTTGCATTACACATGAATTCCCGAAAGGGCAATACAGATTTATCTATTATCTTGTAACTAGGATTATATCATTGACTACCAACTGCCAATGTCCTATACACATATAAGCGGGTGTGAAGAAGTATGCAAAACGTTATTACCGAACGGACTTTCCCAAATTTAGGTTTTCTGAAGGTGTCATATTATAAATTTATGCTATACAGCTTTATGCCTTTATATTAGATTTACCATGTTCTGTTAGTACTATGTGTTTTTCTCTGTGAATTATTAATATAATCTAATTCATCATCTACCTTTTGTTGAATTCTGTAAAATTAGTAATTTAATATCCTTTCAATTGTACCACTCGTTGTATGATGTCTTTAATGGGCGTATTTGATACAATAAACTTATCTTATCTATCTATCTTATTAACCCAACTCCCCCCCCCCCTTCCCCCCTCCCCTCCTTCATTTCCCCACCCGGCGATAATTCATCCTCACGGTCTTCGAATTTCTTCTTTGTGTATTAATTTCTCCACTGATGAGAAGCACTGATGTAGGTTACAAAATGAGGTTAGTTATTTTACTTTATTGCATGATATATGAATACGTCATTACAAAGGACATTCGGTGATTTGAAATGTTCCAGCACATCCTTTTGCCACAAACCAATCTGTTTTAGTACGACCGAAGTTTTTTCCTTGGACACATTGGTAAAAGGATGTTCTTGCAGTCATTAAGATATCTGTTATTTCGTATCCTTCATTTCTAGCAGGTATTCTCACTTTCTTGTCTCTTCTTGAATAACCAGCTCTGGCGTCTTTTGTGTATTTGATACAGCCGTCATCTGAAAATTATCATTATGTTCAGAAGTGTTACTTGCAAAATAAAATGAACAGAAATAAGCGTATTGATTTTCGACTTTATTAGCAAGCGAAGGTTCCGCCGTCATCTGAAAATTATCATTATATTCAGAAGTATTACTTGCAAAATAAAATGAAAAGAAATAAGCGTATTGATTTTTTGCACTTTATTAGCAAGCGAAGGTTGACATCTTGATGGATGTGTAAACAGGACAGCGACACATATTAACAAGCAAATTTAGATCCATCATTTTCATTCAGTTTATGATACGAATTGTAGATGATATAATTGATATTCAGAAATGAGTTACGTTCAGCATTTCTGTACCTTATTGAGATAATGAAGACAGGCAACGCTATGTGGTGGGCAATGGGGAAAATTATGCCCAGACAGTGGCATTAGATTACTTATTTTCTATTTCTAACTGTCGAAGTATCTTAATGCGCACAGCCTGTAGCAGTCGATTTTTATGCTTTCTTGACCCTACGACCTTCATCACTGACAGGAGAAACCGGGTATAAAGATGATGTTGAGAGTTAATATCAACGCTTTCGAGAACAAGTTGATTGATTATTGAAAAACCTCGACTACCTCAACCTATCAACGACATAAGTCAGGATATCAAAATCCTCTACAATATCATCCAGGTAGCCTACCATGAACAGAAATGTGGATATGAACCAAGGGAGGGAACACCAATTTTAAAGTCAATATTCTCATGTCTACCCAGTTATTATTTTTAAAATCTCCATACACATTATACGTCACATTTGAATAAATAAGCGCCTGTCTCACTGCTGATATACCAAAATATACAAGTAAAGCGCTCTTACCATTCACTTCTTGACCCAAACAACAAACTACCAATAGTGTTACCAATACAACACAGAAGAGAATTTTACTGGACACCATTCTGAAAATAAACAGATCTTATTGTCAACTTTTATTTTACACGGTCAACGACGCTGGATTTGAGGATCATTCGAACTCAGTGGACAAACGCTGTGAACAAACATCGAGGCAACTTCTACCTGGATTATTCTTACCTATTACAGCTCGGTCAACGTGTATTGTATAAGAGGGAATATGGATTTCTTAGGGTTTCTCGACTCCCTAAACCCGAATGACGAATAGCGACACAGCTGCACATTACCAAATACCTGCGTATCTTTTCTGGAATTGGATAATCTAAAGTATCACAGTTAAGGTTGATATGTGGAGTCAAAATCTGCTGGTTTAAGTTTTTAAGTATTTTTTCAAGTAGTCAATGAGACTGACAATAACAGGATCATTCAAAATGGAAAAACATCTCTCTAACTTTTGAGATTACAAATCTACACATATAACATTTAGCACTTTTTAACAGACGCTTTCTATTATTAAAAGCATTTCAAGGAAACTGCTCCTCTGACACAATTGATGAAGGGCACTTGGAGTTCTCTAAACTGGCTCCAGTATCCATTTAAAAACCAGTTGGTCCGATGAAAAATTTTATATTTAAAACACAAGATAACATCTTAAGCCAAAAAGTAGGGTTATAAAATGTATATATTTACCTGACTCAGAGTTCTGTATTAAACTGACGATAGTATTGAACAAATCATGTCTTAAACTTTATAAAATCTCACCATCAATCATTAATTTAAATATCTTCCTGTTATAATTAAATACCCACGGCTATATTGACTATTTTAACCAATTAATATCATAATATTAATTAATTAATATGTATTACACCATATTGTAGGCTTGGTATCGACGACATTAGGATTCCTTTGAAGCATCATCATATTGCTCTAATTAAAAAAACATTGAAATCTAGATTATCTCATTGATTGATAAAAAATACGCAACCGAATGGGTAACTTTACGTTTTGTAAATATGTTACTTTGTAAATAATCAGCAAGTTTATTATTATGAATGGCCGTCCTCAAGCACCTTATTTGACAGGTCAAGGTCGACATGAGTAAAGCGTACATTTCATTTTGAAATTTACTATCAGCTTGCCTAGCCAGTTAACCGAATTCAGGTCGACTAAATCGAGCGAAAGATCATATTCTTCAGATGTAGCCAGTTTCTATGCTAGCAGTTATGAAAAATACGTTATACAGTTGTTTCTGAAAGTTGGGGGTGATTTTGTTATGCAGAATTGACACCTCAGTGTGCTCAGATCCACACTGCGAACGATACTCTAGAATTGTAGAGTATTTACACCAGCTGTTCTTGATCTACTTTCTATATTAAAATATGGTATCATGTATTCTACCTGAAATGTCGCATTCTACGACCACCCAGTTGATCAGTTAATTGCAATTATGTTGTTAGACGTCATTTCTTTTCTTCTCCAAAATACAATAACACCCTTTATTATCATTGAAAGTATGTGCTTTGGGACTTTATGATAATGTTAATAGGCCTGTATATTATGAATACATACATAATACTTTGAAAATGTAGATTACATATGGGTCTGTAGGGTCAATATGATTCAGAGATATATCTTTAAACTCAATCGTTCAAATTTTCTATAATTTTTGTTCTTAATCAAATTGGGTGAAACTCCAATACAATGTTGGTGAACAGTTCGAAAAACACGTAGGACATACAATAGTTACGTACAAAATATTTTTTGCAATGTGATTTTTTTTCCAAATTAATGTCGCGTCATGTTTGTTTGTTTATTTATTAGGCCTACATTGCTTCCTTTTCTGCACCGATTTTCTCATGCATAACAAAACTTGCCAACAATTAATAACGTTGTTCACATTGAAAG